GGAAGAGCTTCCGGTAGTTACCAGATGCAGCTGCTGCTTCTAGCTCATTAGCACGCTTCGACCACCAGGCTTCTCGGTCCTTACGCAAGCTTTGCCCAATTTCCTTACGTAACATCCTTCGTTTATGGTCAAACTCACGGTCACCCGGAGTAGACCGACGGGCTTCAACGAGTTGTAAGGAACCTGCAGAAACCCAGTGCTCGTAAGCGGGACGTTTCGCGAACCCACAACTGACTGTTCCCGCCATTTTCATGGCGTCATGCAATTGCAACCAATGCTCATCTATACTTTTCGGTGGAGTGGTAGCTAGCCTAGAGGCTAGCTCGGTTCGATACTTACTTGCAATAGAAGTTGCTAATATCAATCCGTTGATGTTGGTCACTTCGTTGTCCACTGAAAAGTAAGGCAAGATTGGCGCAGACCAAGGCATGGTCAGAGTCCAGATAGGTACTCCAAAAGGAGCGGCAGTCTTGTACACAACCACGCCAGCGGTAGCTGATCGCGATGTGATCAATCTGAGTCCAGGCTTGAGATGCAGAGAGAGGACGCCAAGTGGCACATCGGCTATGACTGTGCCGAAAGTTAGTGCTAGCCAGAAACAGGTTGTGGTGTGTGCAAAGTTGCAGTAGACGGTCCCCGTTATCTGACCTGCGACCAACGAGTCCCCATCGGCCACCTTAACGACTCTCTTCTGTGCCTAGACGCCCGACCTGAGCATTCAAGTCTCCGGCTAGTACTACAATATCTGTCGAACGCACTTTCTGGAGAAGAACTGATAGCTGGTGGTAAAACTCATCCTTGATTGCATCCGGGCTGCAATCTGTCGGGGCATAAGCGGAGATGACGAAAAGACATCGTTTCTCACGCCGATTTCTTCTCACTTTGATAGAACTTTCTAATGTAACAGCACATAACCGACTGTTAATGGGGATCCAGTCGACTAGTGCTGCCTCAGCTCTAGCGCTTAGTGTGACACCAACGCCAGCAAGACCAGACGAAGATGCCACAGGGTCCCCGGATAAGCGCACGTAAATTAAGCTTTTTGAAGTGACAGATGGAGAGCGAATTTGTAGTACTTCACCAGAGTCTTGAATACGGGTCTCGGATAGACAGCAGACATCGATATGAAGACTTTCCAAGGACATAGCCAGCCCTATCTGTTGTCCAACCTGCATAAGTGTGCGAACGTTGAAGGCAGCCATTTTGAATGGCGCACGTGGTTTCAGAAAAACTGCTTTAGTACTCATATTCGATGGTAACATACAATTTTCAACCGGACAGTGACTCGAGAACGTTTAGATACAGTCGGATTTCCACCAAAGATGAGCCGCTGTATAAGTATAAAAGAGGGTGAATAATGTGGAAAATAATAATAATAATGGTGACAATAATAGTACTAATAATAATAGTATTAATAATGACAATAATTGTAATAATAATAATTTGAATCAATTGATTGTTTTTCGAAGCGAGAAAAGTAGTTTCCATAGACATAGAGAGTTCATCATTTGTGTGTGGGCTGTGATACTGCCCGGGTGCCCAAACCGAAGCAGGTGGTTATCTTCGGGGGCCACTCCCCAAGCCTTTGACCTAAAGGTCTGATCCACAAGGCAGTGGAGCATCGTGAGGAGATGCAGTCACATGGTAGCCGGTGACCAACGATTGGTTCCTACGCCATTTGTTCCCGCAGGATACTGGAGCCCATGTGCACCATTGGTTTGGAATCCGGTTAAAGCGCCGGACATTCGCTTTTCGTCCTCTCAATTTCGTAACCAACACCCCCGCCACGAGAAGGCAGTGAGTAGGACTTCCCTGGCAGAGGCTGTATACGCGTGGCCGTATGAGAGTATTTCGAGAGGGAGAGCGGACTCTCCTCACTCTCGGCCGTACCAGGGCATTCAGGGACGTCTATTACTTAAGTGTGCATGTAGTGGTTGGTGCTGTGTCAAACCCACATAGGCTATTTAACTCTTGGACAGAACAATTTACTCATTCTTCTCAAGTCACATTTTTACCTTGTCACTTATTCGATTATTAACCTTTTTTGTGTTATGGTATGTGTGTTAACTACTTACCCTATTCATCATGTGTTTGCAACTTATTTTTGTTTAATTATAAATATCAAGATACGCTTGATTAAATCGAGTTGGCCCACTGGCCCTCTCCGCTACGTGTCATTTTGTTTCGCTTTTCTCTCTCCTCTTTGCCTCTTCTTATTCTGAATATCTGTCTGGATAAACGAATGCCTAAAATGGGTTTCTCCGACTTCACTCGTATTTGACTTCTTTTTGCCGCTGTCACAGACGGGGTTAGCCTAGGTAATATATGGAGTTAAAGGGGAGTAGAACAAAATATCACGTTCCTTTTCAATATTATTTGATTCGAAGGACGCAATTTTAAACAATTGAAAGTTGAACATCATAAGCAAGATAAATTAACAACTTGAAGAAATGCCATATTGAAGGAAGTAGATGCACCTTCGTCTGACTAATCATCAGTTAGCTGTCAAGGGTTGAAATGCACCTTTAGTCAAATCATTTCATAATTGATGATGAGTTTGTTAGACATCCGACGGAGTTGATTTATTAGCTGTCTATTTGAGTACAACCGACAAATATTCCCCATCTTTATCATTCATAGGTAAACAACAGGAGTCGGGACTCAAGTTTCCCCACTTAATTTTAACATAAGGGTAGGATATCAACAAGGCTAAAAACAAATAAATGAAAAAAATATCAATTCAGGTGTTAAAAATAGCATACTGAATAAATAATTCAGAGGGAAGGGTTAGAAAAACAAAATAAAATGTAGTACTACACCCACAAATTTAGTGGAAGATATACTAATACTTCTGACCAAAAACCATGAGTAGGCTAGTGGAGGATGTGTTGATCACATCTTCACCCTCCACCAAATGCTATAACATCTTCATACTTACTCCGGGCCAATAATTTGTGTTTCTTGACAAAAAGTCCTCATTCAACTCTCTGGACAGGATTGTTGTCTAGGATTGTCTATTAAATGGTGTGTCTGAACAGCTCATTAACATCTTAAGAGCCTTGTATACAAATACCTCAGGTATAGTGAGGGCATACGAATACCTCTCTGTATTATTTAATCCAAACAGTAGGGTTAGTTAGGGTTACCCAATCTCGCCATTCCTCTTCAAATTTGCCATCTATGACGTTCTAAAGATGGCTCTGACGGATGTAGGTAATTATGGTGTGCACCTATTACTTGGAGAAAAACTTTCCAGCCTTAAATATGCGGGTGATATCGTCTTATTGCTTGACGATACCCAAGTACTTCGCACCTAAGTTCAAAGTACTTTTACGGGGGTGGTAGGACCCTATGCCTGCACATATTCTTGGTAGTGAGCAAATAGAGGTAGTCGAGAAGTTCGTGTCGGGGAAGTTGTGTATGTGCTGGTGGTGGCGTGAGTGATGGGATCAATTTACGTATAGTGAAAGCCAGAGCGCTTTTTTCCAATCTGGGTCATCTTTAGTGTCTTCGTGATGTTGGTCTGGCTGTAAAAGGTCGGACCTACAACGCGTCGGTGAGAGTAATCTTGCTGTATGCTTGTGAAACGTAGCCGAGTCAGACATGTTAAGTGACTCTTTGTGTTTAATCATCATTGTCTTCGAAGGCTTGCTGACATCCAGTGGCAACACCATGTTAGCAATGAGGGGGTTCGACAATGTGACGATAGTTCGGTTGGCATTACCATCTTGATACACCTACTTCTATGGCTTGGACACGTGCTACGATATCGTCCCTGCAAATTCGACATTTTGAATTACTTGCCGACTCAAACTGGTTGAAAAAAGCGGAGGAACGGTCAGCTTTTAGTATAGTGTCGCGGTATGAAAGCAAGCTGTACGGGACTGGCTTCCACTGGACCTTCACGACTACTTGGTTGGGGTCTGATAGTGCAACACAGTGGCTCTAGACATCAAACATGACTCAGAAGATAAGCCAGTGGCGACCCTACTGCAAATTTATTTTGCTTTCTCCATAAAAGTGAGAGCATATTCTTTAGCTGAAGGAATTCTTTCTGTTTGTAGTTTTCTTAGCTGAACTGCTTCTCCCATTACTATTGTCATTATTATTATTACTATTATTATTCTTTTTTGTCATTATACTCACCTTCCTTTATCTCCTCACAATCTTATTTTTATTGTATGAGGATTTTTGATGTTCTTTTGTACCAGTGTTTATGTGTTTGAATAATAACAATGGTAAAATCTGAGCCATACTACCTAGGTTTTCCAACATTTGCTGAGATACAGGTTGGTTCGGGTGACGAGTCCCAGGTGAGATGATATGATCGTCCTGAGTTCTACTCCTAGCTATTATTCAAATCTAGAAGTTTGTAATGAAAAGTCAATATCATGGCATCCGCTTAGGATGGACGTTTGCTAATAGAGGCTGATTAATTGTAATTCCAAAGTATCAACAAAGGGGAAATATCCTCCCATAAGCTATATTGTATTTGTTTTCAGATCAGTCATATGAATATACTGACTATAGCTTACCTAATCTAATGGAGAGAATTATCAAAGACGACTAGACTTGCTTCAAATAAGATATTTTGTCTTAGTTTTTACTATTATGGCAGGGTAAAACACCGTTGATTTGCAAAAAGTAACGATAGAAATAAGGAGCAATTCTATTAAGACATGACACCAAAAATAATCCGGGAGTTACATAACTTAGTGGGTCGTAGAACTATCTGGATTTACTTTTTGCTGGAGGACTGGTTGTTTACTGGTCATGTTTGAATCCTCGTTACCAGCTTTTTTAATGCCTTTTTTCAAGTATTTTTGTGGGTCAATTAATCGTTTCCCCAAGTTAACCAACTGTCTAAATCTTTATGATCATTTGAACAATTCGAAATTCATTTTCTTACCATTTTAGTTTTCTATTGGTGTATGTTAAAAATATGACCAACCAGTTGTTACTCAAATGCACGGGATCTGCATTTTGATTCTGAGAGTGGAATGTTAACACAGCAAACCAACCAGACCTCTACTAGTAACCGAGGTCATCGAGGGTCTGGTACAACTTCTCAGAAAAAAGAAGAACGTCAACATTCAGGAAAGCAGAATAATATGCAACAAGATGCACCACGTTCTTCACGGGAAGGAAATACGCTGCTGGTCGGTCCAAATTTCCGTGTTGGAAAGAAGATTGGTTGTGGGAACTTTGGGGAACTTCGTCTTGGTCAGTACCTTATTCTTCACATTTATCTAAGATATCAATCCTTTCTGTACATAATTTGTATATTTGTATTTGACAAAAAGGAAGTATCAATTCTAATAAACGTATTTTGAGTAGGCATTTTAGCCGAAAGGTTCATGACATGGCAAAACCCAGGATTTGTCTTAGTTTAGTTTTTGGACTGTTATGCGTATTCTTGCCCTGTAGTGCAGTTATTTACTGAATATACTACAGAAATGAACTGGTTTTTTTGCGTTGTAGATGCGACAAGGAAAAATTATTCTTATCCATATGTAGTCAACTAGAATTCGGGTGGGGAAAACCAATATGTTGTTGAGTGCAAGAATTACACAATGGCTTAGTAAGATATGAGAATCATATATTAAGTACATCATTTGCACATCTTCCATCATTTGACCTTTACATATTCTATTATTCCGCTAATTCTGTCGTTATTTTGATTACTTTTCAACTTCCTTTCTTTTCTCTTCAATTCAATCTTCTTTTGCCAGGCACTACATCCGATTGCGGTTGCATACTACTTGTACCTGTTAATATAAGTAGCATGCACCACACATAGTTTTGTGAAAATAATCAATTAAAAATTGACTATAATATGTGTAGATCTTCATTCATTTTATCTATTTCATATAAAATCTGATATTTGTTTGGATTGTTTATTTGTAATACTTCTATAGCTCTATTATCATATACTATAGTTTCTCTGGTTAGCGTTTTTAGTGAGTTAGTTTTCTACGGGATGGGGTCGCTAGCCCCATGCCCAACCCTCATCCTTTATCCGGGCTTGGGACCAACAGTAGCCCCAAAGTGGCTCCAGGAGGCGTTATCATATACTAATTGCTGACAAATTGCTGTTTAAGTAAATAAATTTGATAATATCTTTCCAAGTTTCATATCAATACATTGTTGTTATGATGAACCTTTATTAGACAATATTACAAATGACACTTTAAGAGAAGAAAGGGATGTGGAAGAATTTACTTTAGTAAATCATGTCATATTTGATGATGTAACCTTATTAGTTTTAGCGATTGTAAAGTACGATTTAACTTCGTCGACATTTCCCCCCAAGCTTTTAATACAATTAGGGAATTAATTTTACAAAAGGATTGAATGTAATTCTGTTTATGAAGTGTAACTGTAGTGAATGAGAACACTAGTGGGGATAACCAAATGTATTTTAATATAAGATTACAGAATATCTTAATAAAATCTGAGAACCATACAGTAAATACTTCATTTGCAAAGTATCCATCAATTGTCTCCAACTTTGTTGTTTCTTCATTTCCATCTCAATCACTCTCTGTTCTTGGTCTTTCCTCTTCGGTTTTCTCAACCTTCTGCCACCAAGCATTCCACTTTCGAATGGTGGTACATACTACTTATATTTGTCGACATCAGTAGCACACATCACAGAACTACAAGTGATCTTAATTAATGGTAATATTACAGTAGCATTCTTTGGAGAAAAAAGATTTTTAACGATGTTTGTTTAAAGTTTGTTGTAAATTATTATTCTGTAAGATCATCAAAGTAATTGTTATTTTCATTTTTGACGTTTTTGTTCGGAACTTTTGTTTAGGTCGTAATTTGTATACCAATGAATATGTTGCCATTAAACTTGAACCGATGAAAACTCGTGCTCCCCAATTGCATTTAGAGTATCGATTCTATCGTATACTTCTAAGTGGTGGTGTTGTTGGATTTCCAATGGTTTATTATTTTGGACCAGTAGGCCGACATAATGCGCTTGTAATGGAATTGCTTGGTCCATCTTTAGAAGATCTATTTGAATCATGTAAACGTCAATTCTCTTTGAAAACTGTACTGATGATAGCAATCCAGCTGGTATGTTTTCCATTTGATTATTTTAGAATTTATTTATACATAAATTGTCTTGTCATTTCTAAAAAGTATGAAATAAAATTGGGGCTCAAGATTTAGAAGAATACAAAGAGTAGTGTATCTGCTCTAATGGAAGAATCTAAGCCATGTCATTACTTATTTTCAGCCTCTTATTTCGGATTTGTCATAAGGACTTGATCCAACAGTCAATAACTTCATAAGCTTACTCCACTTCTTGGTCAACATATAGTGGTTCAGCTACTTAGGTATTCAGGTTTTTGTCATCAACTCACTAGTTCCAACCTTTCTGTGACTATTAGATATATGGTTTAGTAATTAAAACACAACCTTCAGCCTTTCGATCTCGTGTACGAATCCTTGTCCGCGTACTTTTCTTTGCAAACAGATTAGTGTCATTAGCCATCACACAATTGTAAATCAGCAATCACTGACTTCATGAACTGTTCCACTCCCTAGTTTTAGCACCTTCGGTTTTCTAGCTTACTTATTTACTGGTCTTATTGGCTCATGAGGATTTGTGGCGGCTATTCACATATATAACATGTGTCCCATTCAACTCGGTTAATAATGACTTGTCTTCCGACCAACTGGGGAAAATTAAATGGTTAGAGAAAGTGTTTAACATTCCTAACGAATATGGTTATATTTTTTAATTATCCTAATCGTTCTTTTCATCTTAACATGTGTTTCAAATACTCATTTTCATATGCTGCTAAGAAGTATAACAAATTGAACTATTTAATTATCATGAATTCATTTTTTGTTGAAAGTTTATTTTTGGATTCAATGAGTCTATTATATGAAAAGTGATGATTAAAAGGACCAACCATGTAAGTAAATTGTTTTCACTTCCAACCACAAATAATCACTACATAAAATGAAAGTATTCCACAACTAGTAAAGTCAATATAATAGATGGAATGGGGCTAATAGTGAAGTCTAGGACGCGCATTTCTTCCTATCTGTAACTCATCAGTTTCCTGAAATCATAAAGTTAACATAATCATTCATTGTGTTAAGTGTCACCAAATCAGTATATGGCACTAAACCATGAAGTCATTAACTGTTGCTCACGACCATGTCGATAAATTCAGATTATCCGGTCAGAGTTTACACTACAAACCACGATCAGTGATTGAAGACTATGGATGATGTATAATTCAGAAAGATTCACAATGGTACAAATCCATTCACTCATTATCATTCTCTCGATCTGAAATCACAATGTTCCTTCTTACATACTTTTCCACTTTGTCTTTTTTTCTCGAACTATATTCCCAATGTTTAGTATTTCATTAATATTATTGCTACTATATTTTTTTACCATTCATCTTATTATCTTCATCTCGTCATGTTAATCTGATATGACAGCTAGGATCAATTTACACTTGTGTCCTATTTGGTGAAGACGCTGACAAAATGCAGAGTCTTTTGACCACTATAAGCAACAATGCAAACATATTCGGGATGCGACTCTCCCATTCGAGATACAAAATGTTACTTCAGGATTGGGTTGCATCGACACCCGAACTAATGATAGGGAGTGAAGAAGTTGAGCGTGTCGACCGCTTCAATTATCTTGGGAGTCTCACCAGCCCTTGTGGTCTGGTGTGTGACGAAATCTCAGCACGGATACAGAAGGCTCGACTAGCTTTTGCCGACTTGCGTCATTTGTGGTGTAGGAAAGATATCCGTCTACCAACCAAAGGACAGGTTTACTGCATAGCAGTTCGTCCCGTCCTACTTTATGGCAGTGAAACATGGCCGGTAAGAGTAGAGGATATCCGTAGGTTACTAGTATTTGATCATAGGTGTCTTCGAAACATTTTTCGTATATCCTGGTACCGCCGAGTAAGTAATGCAGTTGTTAGGAAACGGATACCAGGTAAGGATGGCAAATCAATTGATGAAGTAGTGAAACTTCAGTTGAGATGGCCGTGACGTGTGTTACGTATGTCCAACCACCGACTGCCCCGACATGCGATGTTTTTATGTTGTAGGAGTAGGTTGGAAGAAAGTTGGGGGCGGCCAGATCAAAACATGGCACAAATCCATGATGTCACTGACAAATAAACTGAGCCATGTTGGTAGGTGTAGAGTACCTGGTTTGAATCGGCGAGACTATAGCGACTGATGATTAGAGACCTTGAATGATATGACTCAAAATGGTGCAGGTGCATCCACTCTTTGTGTTCGCCCAAATTCTAATTTTCTGAATTCTTCATGTCCCTTTACTTGTTTTCTTTCCAAATTTACTTCACTGGATTATACTCCTTGACTAACATCTTCGAAATCTAATCTTCACGATTACTGTTTGTACTTTTATTACCTCTACCGCTATGGGATTTAAATGGATAATTGTATCTCTCTGGTAATATGGTATGGCAACTCGAACTGATGTACGTACGTACGTACGAAGTTCTAGGTTGTTACTGACTGACGCTTGTGCCAGACTTTACATGAACTAAACTGACCAATTTACTGAGAGTCTTTAGGTTTCATTGAGAGAATATCTCTGAAATACTGTACAGTTTGTAAAATGCTATACACTATGTTTAGTATAAAAAAATACTTATATGATTTACTTGTACATAGTTTCTATTTCCAAAAAATCAAACATTTCTTGTATCCGTCTTATTTTTTGGCATTTAAGTTGTTCTATAATTGTACTAACTAACTAGTAATTTATGTATTTATATATGGAAAGAATCTAGTGAATGAACTTCAGTTTTATTTATTGCTCAATTGGTCCTACTTCCTACTTTTTTTACTTTTTCTCTTTACGGTCATTATTATTATTATTATTATTGTTGTTTTTCTCTTTCTTTTTTCTTAAAACTCATTTAGCTTCGACGTATTGAATATGTACATTCAAAGCATTTAATATATCGTGATGTTAAACCAGAGAATTTTCTTATTGGACGTCAATATTATAATAGACATCGTACTATATATATCATTGATTTTGGTTTAGCTAAAGAATATATTGATCCAGAAACTCAAAAACACATTCCTTATCGTGAACATAAAAGTCTTACTGGTACTGCACGTTATATGAGTATTAATACACATTTAGGCAAAGGTAAATATTATATATATATATATAATTAATTTTAATAGTTGAGATCATAAGTCAATTGAAGCTAAACAACTACGGAAAATCTGGAAGCAATTGATGGCCATTTCGTCTCATTGTGGGACTCAGTAGTGTGCATCTACAATCCCTCTTCGCGAGATTCGAATCTAGAACCTATCCGTCTTGTGCGTGAGCGCTTAGCCACTAGACCTGGGTTTGAATCTCACGAGGTGGGGTCATGGATGCACATTGTTGAGTAGTCCCACAATAGGACAAAACTGCCCTCTAGTGCTTTCAGGTTTTTCATAGTGGTCTAGCTTCAAGTGACTCATGAATTCAACGTTTGGAATTATTATAATATCCATAAAAACCCTTTTTGAAATTAATTAATTAGTTTTTTGTAATGCTTAATTACTTTAAGAGTTTAATATTATTTATTAAATCATTTGGTGATGTTTAGTTGATTAACTGATTTTCAAAAAATGTATATTTACTATTTATGATAAAGGTTTATCGTGGTTAAAAAATAATCAGTCAGTCAGCAACAACGTGAAATCAGACACATATATGCATCGGTCCAAGTTGCCATACCTCATTAGCACTACAAGATGAACACCAAATTCATTGAAGTAGTTAATTCAATAGTGGTAATATATAAAAGAAAGATTGCATATAAGGATATGGTACCGGAAGAAAGAATTAGTTCATAGAAAGAAAGACATGAAGCGATTTTAATCTCATAGTATTCATAGTATAAGGGAAGACAGAGAGTGTATACGCCTACACCATTGTGATCGATTCTGAGCCATATCACCCAGAGTGTCCAATCATTAGCTACAATAGTCGTGCGGACCCCAACCAAGTAGTTTGCATCTATTAACATGGCTTAGAATAGTAGTTAGTGACTTCAAGGACTGATCCCCCGTTTTGGTTTGGTCGACCTTAACATTCTTCCAACCGTCTCCAACACTGGTGAGCATTGTGCGTCATGGTAATCGGTGTTCAAGCATTCATTTTTGTGCTTAATTTACCAATTTTAGCTATTTCGTATCAAGCTTGCTTTTAAATTGTTCTCTGTTATGTCCCGATAAGAATAATGAATGATAACTTTTAGGATCCATTTATGGACCAATACTAAACGTATATTTCTATTGTATAGTTATCAAGTAACTAAACTGTGCATATTCATATTCCCCCTTATTATAAGCTTTATTTTCACCCATAAACTATTATTATACGTTTTACCATTCTTGAGTTATACCCAGTATATTAATTACTACCTCGCTCATTCACGGCCACATCTGACTAAATCTTTTACAAACATTGTTTCATATTTTGTTGGTACGTTGTGGTCTGTTTGGTTGGTATATAAACTCAGTATGTTTGAAATATGATGATTTATGTCGCAGAGGCTCGGATTGGTGTTCTGGACTTAACTGGCTGGGCTGGGCTAGGCGGAAAGCAGGGCCAATCAGAACTCTCGCATGTGTTTACGCATCCTTGGTCCGATCGATAAGTTACTGCCCTCTAATCGGCGGTCACAAGTTATAACAATTAGCGATGGGGATGGGATTCGGACCCACGCGGGGAAATACCCGTTACGTGTCTTGCTTAGAATCTACAAAATTAATCTTGTGTCTGTGTACTTAAAATATGTTTGGTTGCATCAATGTTTGGAATTAAACTTTGGATAAAAACGTAATTTGACTGAATTATTATTGTCTAGTTGCTTTTTGGTGGTAATGTCATATGAAATTATGTTCCTTTTAAGTCTTGAGTAAACTATAAATTTATTAACTAAAATCTTTTTGAAGAATATCGTATGTACTTAATCATTTGTACTACCACTACTGATACTGTTTCCTGTGGTATCCCTTCCAGTCCTCCTGGTTTGGTAAAACTGGTTGATTTTTCTAGAAACATCAATGGGTTATAACACGGGACAACTACCGGAGTGTTATAGTTGTTTCTATTTTACACTTTCTTGGCTGTATTTCTTCCCAGATAATTGCCGACTATTTGTACACTAATTGAAAATGCCTTTCTGTGTTGGAACGATGTTTTTTAAAGACCTCGGATGGGCATTGATGTTCATTGTTATGATTTGATTCGCTTGACTATATATTTGTTTTAGTCTTTTGGGTTGCATCTTCCATTTGAGTTATGGGTCGTTTGAATGTATCTTCATAACCACCCTTTTGTCCCATAGGTTTTCAACGCGATGAGCGCAATTTTGAGTCCGATCACGTTTGTTTTTGGTTTTGCTTGAAGTGTGATCATTTTTTCTAATAACTGTCCATTTTCTTTGTGGTTCCAAATATTCCGTTACAGCTTTCGTTCATGAATTTGTATATTTGGTCTCCTTTTCTAATTATCTTCAGTTCCCATTTATCACATGTATTGAGTTTTATTTTGTATGAGTTTTTTGTCAACCCATTAAGAGGAAGTTGCTTCTTAAGTGACTCCATGTTTTCTTCTATCACTGATACTGTTACTACTTCTAACACTCTGGTATTTGTTTTAATAATTTCATCTTACTGTTTTAATCTGGTATGATGACCTGAACCAATACATATATGTGCCAAGTTTCACGTTGTGCATAACTGACTGACTAGTATTACATACTTGTTAATTTAATTTGGTAGTCAAAGTCAGTATGGGTCACCTTAGATTCATAGAATCCGATCCAATTTGCATACACTAACCTGGCACAATATTTGTCAGTTGATATTATCATTATTATTACTATTTTTATTATTATCATCATCGATATTTCATGAGCGATCAAGCATTACTGCGAATCATCATTGCCTAATTGTAACCTTATTTGATTTTAGTGTTTCCTTTTTCGTTGTTGTTTTTTCAGAGCAATCTCGACGTGATGATTTAGAGGCCTTAGGTCATATGTTTTTATATTTTCTACGTGGTAGTCTACCTTGGCAAGGTTTAAAAGCTGAAAATCTACGTGAACGTTATCAGAAAATTGGTGATACAAAACGTGCAACTCCTATTGATGTTTTATGTCATGGTTACCCCGGTAAAATATATACTAAGATAATGTTTTTTTTGTGTGTGTGTGTTTACAGTCTTTCCATGTTGGAATGATGTAATTAATAGGACATGTTATATCATATAATATAGTTTTATTGCTATAGTATAATTTCTTTTCATGGGTAATCATACCTTTTGTTAGTACATATATTTAAAATGTATAATAGAATTCGATGATTATGTAATACTCATGTAGGTCTACACTTATCTATATTCAAAGCTGCTTAACATTTTTTGTTGCTAAATATCTATTATTTTAACGTATAGTACTGGAGTGATAATAGCAGTTAAATGAATGACAAGATCTTAGTGATTATAGTTCATTCATTTTCAATCTTCTTGTTTCTTGATGTTTTGACAAGCGGTGTAAAATACATCAGTTCAAATAGTTCTAAATAAAGGAAAAATATAAGATTTCAATTTTAAACATCATCATTATCTCCGTAAGACTATCGACATCTGATAGGAATACCGTGTAAATCACATTGAAATCGTGTATTGTGTCTTTGAAAACAATGAAGATCTAAATTGTATGAAGGTGTGTGTCCCTCTAAGAATACCACCTACTTCGGTTTAGGCATTCAGGCAGTATCCCAGCCCTCGTACATATTGAATGATTTATATGGCGCATATGTATTTGATACCCCCTTGTAAATTGTATGTATGTTATTATGCTGAACTACCAGTTCTAGTGTGATAGTCTTGCTAATTGCATTATGTGAATTGTTGTTTATTGATATTGGGACTGGTTGGATAAGTTAGGTGGTGGTGATTAGTCCATGACGTTTCACTGTAGATTGACCGAGATCATATGGCTAAGAGCTTTGAGACACATGTATCAGAAACATAGAACCTCTCACTAAATATGTATTGGCTCAAGCTGTCATATCGGATTATCATGACGAGGTGAAAATGATAAGATAAATGGTAAAAATAAAATATCGAAGTAATGTAGTAGCAATAACACTAATGAAGTATGGTTCGTGAAAAAAAGACACAGTGGAACATTGTGATTTCAAATTGAGATGATAAGGAGTCAATGGATTTGTACCATTGTGAATCTTTCTGAATTATATGTCATCCAACGTCTTTAATCATTGATCGTAGTTTATATTTTGGATTCATCAACATAGCTGTGAGCAACAGTCAGTGATTTCATGATTTATTGTCATATCTTCGTTCGACCGTTATCTAACCCAGTTCATATTATAACCGAATAGTTGGCTCTGATATGACTTACAGCAGAGTTCTTTCTGATATGTTATGTTAATGTACAATGAAATTACTTCATCATGATATCTTTCTTTCTAACATGGAGTTCATATGAAAGATATTTATTTTTATCTTATTTACACACATGAACATTGGTACAAAGAGACACAAAATATATATGCGCTACATAAATCATTCGATTTGTGTGAGAGCTGGGATGCTGTCCAGCTGTCCAAACCGAAGCAGGTGGTTTTCTGAGGGGGCCACATCCTGAGCTTTCAACCTAAAGGTCTGACCCAAAAGGCAGTGAAGCAACATGAGAAGATGCAGTCATATGATAGTCGATGACCAGCGACTGGTTCATACGCCATTTGTTCTCTCAGGATAGTAGAGCCAGCCTATGTGCACCATTGGTTTGGAATGAAGGTTTTCCAACTCGTTCAGGTTGACTCTCCGTATCCACCAACCCAGTTGAATCGTCGGACATTTGCTTTTCATCCTCTCAATTTCGTAAGCAACAGCCCCCGCCGTGAGAACGTAGTGAGTAGGAAATTCGTATGAAGTGGTAACACTAATCTATGTATGAATATTCTTATTAGTCAAAGAATCGTTTATTTTCTGATAGTTATTCTTCGCTATTTGTTCAAACGATTCATTCAAGCGTATATCATCTTGTCTTCAAATATATTTTTCTCTCTCTATTATTTATATATTTTTTTCATGATTCATTTCTATGATAGATGTGAACTAGTACAAATCTATACTGAATGTTGTACACTTTTCTCATTCTAATCAAATTGTTCAGGTTATGCCTATGTATCATAGTGTTCTATGATCTTTTTATGACATTCCAACTAAGTGTGTTGCTTTCCTTGGGTTTTTCTTGTCAACTATTATTCTTTTCTTGAATATAATAATCATAATAATAATGGTGAAACGTCAATATACGTTTATCAAAGATGTTTTCTTAATAGTATTGTTTGATGATTTTTATTCTTAGCTTATATTTGTTTTCAAGTATTGATTTACTTCTAGGCTTAAACTTACGATACGAATGATAGCATGTTATAAAAGTTAGTCAGTCGGTCAGTCAGTTAGTCATTTATAAGGAATTTAGAGCCGGGATATATGTGTATCAGTTCAATTTCTCACTTTATGCGATAAAATCATCTAGATCAATCACAGAGTATTAGGAGTAGTAACAGTACTAACTAAAGTGAAAAAGAATAACCATAGACAATATGATTTGAAAAGGAGTAAATTTAATGAATAGAAAATGTAAATAAGTTCTCAAATTTGTGATCTCAGAGAAGATAAAGAGTGAATAAATCTGCGCTGTTATAATCGATTCTAAGCCATGTCACTCAAAGTCTCCAACCATTGGTTACAGCCCCCATTATCTTCGGTTCATCTGAGGGTTAGGAGATTTCGCTCTCCCTCTCAAAATGCTCTCAAATGGTCACACATAAATAGCCACTGCCAAGCTAGTCTTGCTCACTACCTTCTCGAGAAGGGGCTGCTGTTCACGAAATTGAGAGGACGAAACGCGAATTTTCATCACCTTAAACGGAATGGTAAATATAGAGGAAGTTGAAAAACCCTTATTCGAAACCAGTGATACACATGAGCTTCAGGATCCTGAGGGAGTAGATTGAGTATGAACCAATTTTGGGTCACCGTTCACCATGTGACTGCATCTCCTGACGTTGCTCTACTGCCTTGTGAATGAAACATCTAAATCAGATGCCCGGGGACTATATCCCCTAAGAAAACCACCTTCATGGACGGACACCGCCTCTTGGTTTAATCACCTTCAGCCTAATTCCTGTCTACTTTCACACCAGCTCGACTCTCGCATGGAGGTTGGCGATTGTTTTGCATACATAATGCATGTCTTAACTACATCAACCCATGAAGACTCGTTTTTTGATGTATAATGTGGTGATGGTGCCGACAGTAATAAGCTTTGTTAAAGAAGAAGCATGGTTTTCATGACTACCTATCCGCTTATATAATTTCATTTTATGTAATGCTGCTTTATCTAAGTCTATTGTTGATTCACTTATGCCATTGTCTAGAAAACAATCAAATCGTCCATTTCTGTGCATAAAACATCTTTCTGAATAAAAAATCTTCACCTCAGTTGTATCAGGAAATTTGGGGGTTGTAAACCAAAATTTTTATGTGAAGATTAATTGTAGTATTATCTTGTTGAAAATTGGCTTATCAGTTAGAGGACTTGTCTGTTAGTGACTTATAGGTTACTAGTTCGAACCCCACTCGACATACATTGATTTAAGCATCCAGGTAGTTTCACTAGGCCTCATACAATTAAAGTTTGACTCAAATCAGAATGCATAAACTCTTATAGTTTTTAAATAAATGAAAATCATTCATTGTGCTAACCAATTAATGAGGATGTAGTTGAGACCAGGTTGAAAGTGACAATCCGACAATTGAAATTCCTGTGCTTTCATCTCTTTTTTTTCACATCAAAAGTGTAACTCAACGTTTTAAAGCACATGAATTGATTCATATTTACTTAAATAATAACTCAGTAATTGCTCATTATATATATGTGTGAAAGTTGTTGTAACACACTTGAAAACTCAAATTCAATTCAATTATCTACCAGGTCAATAGTTTGTTTATGTTATGCCAATTTTTTTTTCATGTTTTCTTTTAGAAATGGCTACCTATTTACGATATGTTCGAAGTTTAGATTTTTTTGAAGAACCTAACTATGAGTATTTACGTTGGGGATTTACTGATTTAATGCAAAGAAAAGGTTGGGAATGTGATTGGGAATTCGATTGGTGCAGTCGACCGTTACCTGGATCTAAAGTAAACTATATATGTATATATTGAATGTTAGAATTGATTAGTTACTAAGTTATGACCAATGTTAAGTTTGTCTGGTCTTTAAGTGCTGATCGAATTCGATCAAGCTAGTTGTAATGTAGTCAAAAACCTGAGTGGCTCGATTAAAAGTACTCGACAGGAGACTCTGGATGTAGATTTGGTGCCCATTAGCATGGCGTACCTAGAATCTTGAGGGAGCTGATGTTCCTTGTGAGATTCGAGATCTTGTCTCCCAGCTTCACATATTGAGACCTTACCACTAAGCTATTCTGTTTACAACTCAACTACCACCAAACATCTAGCAATAAATGTTAGAGTATCTATCCTTACTTTTAGAAAGTACCTATAAATGACTTTCGTTTCGGATGGATGACTTGCACTAAACCGGTTAACGCATAGTTCATGTCATCCAGTGAATGTCATCATCTTTAATAGGGATTAGTAAATGTTCATATGTATGTATCAATTTTAATTGAATAGGATTATTATATTTACTAAAATTGCTGATAATAAGTCAGAATTCTATCCTGTAGATGTCATGATTAAATTATTTTGTGTATAGATTGTTCATACCATCAAACTACTTGAATTAAATATAGAGATAAGGTTAAGACCTAAACTCATTATTGGTAACATTACTAGCTCATTGAAATTCTTTAAAATTAGTTTGGCTGTCTATTTTTCCGGCTTAACCGATGAGAGTTTGGGTCATTGACTGACGACATGCATTGGGTGCCATATGTGACAAGTTCGAGACACCCGTGTACCTACCATAGCACAAGTATTGTCACACATCAATTCGTTTTGTATGACTTAGTGAATGTGAAAATTGATCTTAGATCTTCGGAAGTATATGCAAGTTGCCATTATTTGTATCATAGATATCTTTAAAGCATTCACCATGCTTGACCAAACAATCAGAAAAGTAACGCTCAATTCTAGGTATAAATTGGTTAGTCGATTTATTAGGCAGGACAATTTTCATCAATTGAATTTGTTGGGATATTATTGCTCATATCTCCTCAAACTGAAGAAGTTGTCCATCATAGGAGAAGTAGGTTGGAAGAAGGTTGAGGTCACATCTTATTGAGACATATTATTAGTTCATAGAATCACTAACTATTGAACGTGAATGTATGAGGATGTCCACATTACTTAATTGAGACTAACAGGCTACAGGTTTTCTTACCTCTTACCTCATGTTTACAATTAGAGAACTATACTTTTCTACTGGTTTTCGGGAATATATAACAAATAAATTTCATAATTGAAATCATGAACTAGTTCTAGTTAGACTATTATTAAAAACCTGGAAGTATTAGGAGGGCGTTCATTCCAAAATGGGACGTCTTAGCCGCGCACACCCACGACCTTCAGTCTTGTGCATAAACACTTAAACTTTAAACGACAGCTGACTAACTTCAATAGGCAACTTCCGGAGTTCTAGTGGGAAACCGTGACTAGTGCAGCTCAACCATATTGAGTGTACGACAGTCATCCTCCACAGTCAATGGAACAAGGTTAAGCAACATCATGGATTGATTGAAGTTACATAGTAACACTGGATGCCCCTTTAAATCATCTCAAATACAACTTGTCGTGTTACAGTTCGTATTTGCACTCGCTATATTCATTTTTAACTATAATCATCTAACTTGATAAACACTGATAAAAAACATTCTTATTTCACCGATTGATGTGTGGATGAGGATGATAATGATTGGTTGTTTGCTTAGTTAGAATTATAGACAGTCTGACAGGTACTAGATGAGTTATACATTACTTTACCCTTATTATCACTGTGATTGTTGTTAGATTGTTGTCGGTTTTTGGTGTAGAAATATATTTACGTTCTAGCCAGGCTAATCACATGTTCTTGATCTGAGTTGTGTTGAGGTCCTTCGGTATAGACACTGGAACGGAATCTGGTGTAGATATTCGTCTACGGCAAATTAACATCCTATTCGTGTAGACATGGAAAACCAAGCGTTATAACACAATGACTTTGGTTTGTATCATTAATTTGTCTGACGAGTTTCTATCTGCATCGAAATTCACTTGTGAATATAATAATGAGAGTCATTTATCGCACGGTCTTCAACATATTTTGAAGTTTTCTTACTATTCAATATTTAATAATGTATCATTTACCATTGTTGTTATTCATCTTCTTTATGGGTTTTAGCCTCCAGGATCTACACATACATCTGGCGGACAGGCAGTAAATCCACCATTAACTAACGTTCCTGCTGGGAATGCTAGTTGTATGAATAATGGTGTACAAAACACATCTGGACTTACTTCTCCTACTCATCATCCAGTGAATGGTAATCAACAAAGTCCTGGTGTTAATGGTGGGCATCATGCAATGGGATTAACTGGAACACCTTTATTAGATCCTGGTACTTCTCATTGGCCACCTACTGGGCAATCAAATAATGTACCTAGTTATATCAATGAAGATGGCGGTACATCACCAAATGAATTAAGATATAAAGTTGATGAATATTTACCTTCCTATTTTGGTCAGGTTAGTTTATACATATATATTAAGATTTACGTTAAAATGTTTTTAATTTTGTTTACTTCCAAAGTGTACATCCATTAAAATTTTCATTATTGTATGCATTCATCTAATTTTTTATTAGCAAACCACAAATCAAACTATTATGCATACCGGTCTTCTTGGTGCTAATAAAATTGGTTCACCTAATGACGGTATTGTAGATGATGTTGGACCTACTGGTGTTGGCGGCGGTGGTGCTATGCCCACTTCAAACTCTAGTGGTTTGCCATATGGTGGCGGTGGTGCTGTATCCGGTACAAATGCCGGTGGTACACATATTCGGAATATAACCGGTTTATACAGTGGCGGTGGTCCAGAAGAAACTATGGCTCGAGATATTGATGACAATTTAGGCATGGGAGTTGGCATGACAACAACAGAATCATCACCTGAAAATGTAGTTGGCGCTGAACAAGATGATATACAAAGTCAATCAGGGTAAGTTTGCAATGTTTTCTTTCTTGAGAAGAGAGTTGAAAGGACGATCTCATAATTTAGAATAATCTTTAGTTCGAAAACACTTAATCTTTATACTGATGATTTAAACACTTTGTGTGTATGGGTTTGAGATAATTTTCCTATTTGTTTTGTTCACCAATTTGTAGTCTTTTTTGTGTTAGTTCATCTACATTCCTCTTCTTAGTTAATATTTCACGTTTAACATCGATATTATTACAGAAAGTTTATTTAATCAACTGAAAATCTCATCTCTTCTACTTATTCGAAATAAAATTAGTTACTGTTAAACTTATCCTTTTATTTCAATGGTTGAGATCATGAGTCAATTGAAGCTAGATCACCATGAAAAACCTGGAAGCACTGGACGGCCGTTTTATCCTATTATGGAACTCCTCAGCACTGTATGTATGTGTATATGTATGATGTGTTCGTATAATCTTTTGAAATATTCATCATACACGTCTACATACCATTGTGCATTTTAGGGCAGAATAAATGCTAATATCATGGTAAACTTTAAAATTATATAGAGTAAGTTGGAATTTATATTTTATTCAATAGGCAACGGCATTGCTGGCTCATTCAGCAACAGATGCGTATCCTTGTCTTCATCTCTCAGTTTATTTATTTATTTTGATATGACAGAATCCCTCCCCCCATGAGAAAGGCAAATGGGCACCAAAATATGTATACGTCATACAAATCACTAAATTTATGTGAGGTGTGGGATACTACTAAGATGCCAAAATCTATGCAGGTGGTTTTCTCAGGAGCTAACTCCCTCAGGCTTTAACTTAGAGGTCTTATCCACAATACAGTGTAGCAACATTGTGAGATGCGATTACATGGGGGGGGGGTTCGTACTCCATTTGTTCCCTCAGGATTCTTGTAGTCAATGCTCACCATTGGTTTGGAATTAGGGTTTTCCAACCTCTCTAGATGGATCCTCCATGTCTAACATCCGCTTTAAGGCGCCGAAAATTCGCTTTTTCATCCTCTCAATTTCGTGAACAGCAGCCCCTTCTCGAGAAGGCAGTGATTAGGACTAGCTTGGCAGTGGCTATATATGTGTGACCATGTGCGAGCATTTGGAGGAGTGCGGACTTTCCTCATCTTCTGTCGTTCCAGTGCATTTAGAGGTAGGTCACCAACTGATTTTAGCTAGTCATCTCTCGGAAATGTGGGAGCACAAGATGACCATGCCGTCCAAGTATGGGACTCCTAACTACGACCACACATATGAGTGAACTCGCAACCTTTATATTACTGAGTCGGCATCCAAAAGTGTTGTTGTGCAACTTCAATTAATTCCCAACGTTGCTTAACCTTGATCTATTGACTGTGGAGGATGACTGTCGTACACTCGATTTGGTTGAGCTGCAGTAGTCATGATTTCTCACTAGAACTGCAGAAGTTGCCTGTTGAAGTTAGTCATTATTGAGGACATAATAATTGTTATTATTATCATTATTAACATCATTATTGTTATTTATTTATCAATTATTATTATTCTATTCATTGTCTGTGTACGTGATATTACTTTCAATGGAAGCATTATATTTTCTTTTTTTAATGTACGTAGTTGTTGTGGCTGCTTTGGTCAACGGTCTAAAAATCGACGTCTTCGATCTCAGTTTATCTAGTATTTCTACTATCGTCTGGTATCCGTGTCTGTCTCATCCAGAAAAGAGTTATGGTAACGACGATGATGCTCATGTTTGTATGTGTGTTTATACGTGTATGTAATTCCAATGTGTTATTATTGCTTTGATACATTTTGATATTTTCCGTTGAATAATTTGAACGGTGTATTATTATGATTATTATTGTTGCTATAGCTACTATTGTATTATAATAATGTATATGTGTTTGTACACATGATATTTGCTTCGCCTTTCTCTCGTTTTGTTCCTTTCGTGTTTTGTTTTTTTCCACATTACAATACCTATAATTGTGACATAATCGTGTCGTATAATGAATTATTTCATGTCCTGTTCTGGCCTCCTCACCTTTATGTTATCGTTTTAGCATTTACTGGATACTACTACTAATACTACTATTACTACTACTGATAATAACAATGTAGTAACCACCGACATATTGGATAAGACAGTTAATAATGACCGGATAAAAATTCATTGGATACATAAACTTTTTTTGCTAAAAATAAAAATCTCAGGATTTATCTATTCATTGTGTTTCTCTCTCCCCCTTCCCCCTTTTTTTCTTGATTTTATTTTATCTCAGCAACAAGTCTTTTTGATAATGAATTATTTCTTTATCCGTTTGTGTTGTGTTTTTTTCTTTTTTTTGTTTTCTTTACGAAACAGCTTTTCATTTTTGTATAATCTACGTGTATGGATGATGTAATAATGATATCGAGTTGTTTTTCCCTTCTTTCTTTCTTTCTTTTCATAGAGATCGGTGAAATAGTATTGGTGTTTGTTTTTTTTGAAATAATTTTTTGTGTGTGCCCATTTATCATTTATACACAAATACATCATTACCCCTATTAGAGTTGTGTCTTTCAAAGTGGCCTTTTTCATTATTCTCTCATTATTATTCTATACAACATGTACATATTAAAGGATAGATGAACATTAAATGAGAGAGTTTATAATATGATAGAATGACCCCTTCTATTTCTCCATTTTCAATTTTTCTCGTTTGTTCTTTCTTTCTCTCTCTTTGTATGTGCTTTTCTTGTTACGTCATAATTCCAACTACATTCAAACGTCTAATATGTCCTATGTGTAAAGTCTCATTGTTCAATACCGAAGAATTAAGTATATAGATAAACATACAAGAAAAAGTGTAATTACAAAGAACTGTTCTTTTCCTTTTTTTTCTGTTTAGGAGTTTTTAAGGTGTGTGTGTGTGTTCCCACTTACTCACTTACTCATACACACACGTACACACACTAACAAACAAACAAACAAACATTATTCTTGAATATTATTTTGACTACCATTGTTTATTATTATTGTGTAATCCTATTTCTTTGTTCTATACTTGTATTATTTTGTGTGGTTTTCTTTTTGTAATATGTTACACAATATTTTCTGAGCATAGAAACGACGACATTTCATTTTTCAGTAGTATCAATTGTTGTTTTATGGATTAATTCTTGTCTAAGAAAAGGATGTTGTTTTGTTTTTGTATTCTTTTTCTCTCTTTCTTTCTTTCTTTCTTTTTTTTAACCAATTGACAATTCTCTCAAGAATACGCTTCTTCTTAAATATACATCCCCATACTGTTTAACGGTTTTCTTTAAGGATAGTGAATGCAGTCATGTTATTATTGTTTCCTTCATTTTTTTTCTCTCTCTCTCACACACACAAAAAGATATCATTGTTATTTTGTTATTGTTCTAAATCATTTTACGCTTTCATGAATAAATATTATCTCTATGGCTCATTATAGAAGAAGAAAGAAAGAAAAAAAGAACATTTAAAAGCAAAAAGGAATTGACAAAAGAACTACTGTTATTGCCGGCGCTGATATTGCTATGCATATACAATCTCTTCCTTTATCCCAGGGTCCAATTGTGACCAATATTATAATTCCATAATTATATTGGTTAATATATATATATATATATATATATATATATATATATATATATATATACTTGTTTGTGTATTCATGTGCCTGTACATAGTTTTATTGTTTGAATTCTGTACATGGCTAAATAGTGGATTTTTCACTTCTCACTCATAGACATATAAAATATAAAATCTCTTTATTATTATTATTATTCAGTAATCGCTTCCAATTTTATGATAGTTCAATAGTTAGGTTGTATTGGTGAATCTTTTCTCCTTTATGTATATCTGTAGTTGCGCTTATAGCTGCTACATATTATATATACATATTACTTTCGAATGATTTTGTCTTGCTGTGTCTTGTTGTTTTTTCTTCTTCTTCTTCTTCAATTTTTCTCCTTGTTCAGTTCTGCTTCTTTTTAAAAAAAATTTTCGCTGCATATGTGTAGCGTAATGTTTACCATCATTTTGATTTGTATTGTAACCAATACATAAACTTAAGTGCGCTCATCTGTATTTATATTTATGTATTATTGTGTGTGTGTGTGCTTTTCCTTGGCTTCTTTTCAACGTATACAATAAAATGAGTGTTCTTATACTGGTTTTCTTCAAAAGTGCACAAAGGTTTGTCTACTATAATTCTCATTGTTTACAACAATCAACCGTTCTTGATCTTAACACATACACTCACACACACACACATACATACCTCTTCTAACGACATTATCAATGGTAAGCGTTGTCACTCATCTCCTAATACAAGAGAAAGTATAGAATAAATCATTTTGACCATGAATATCTACCATATGATAAAGTGAAAGTTTGAATGACAGTAGTAGTAGTAGTGAACAAGCGCTTCCAATAAATTAAACTTCCATTGTCTTCATATTTTTACATTATTCTCACCTTTAGAGGGAATGGATGACCATATGTCGTACAAATTGTTTATGCATATATGCATATGTATATTTATTTATCCGATTGTACTCATTCGATTTTTGCTTCCTCGTTTTTCTCTTCAATAATTTCGTATTCCTTTTTCAAATCATTATTCTGACACTTGATATAACATGTTTTCATATGATTGACAAATGAACATATGACGCTAAATTTTGATTTAAATGTATAACTAACTATGTTGTTGATATTACTACTACTTCTTCTTCTACTACTACTACTACTACTAATACTACTTAAATGATAGTAATTATATGATATGTAAAATTCTTCAAAGCATAGGCTTATTATAGAATGATTTGTGTGTGTGTGAGTGATGACGCTATTGTACCTGCTTGTTTCTTTCTGTTGCATAAAAGCTTATTATTATTTTTCATATCCTTTCAATTGATTGTCATTCCCTTATATTCATAATAATAATTTATTAATAATGATTACTGATAAGTTTGACAGGAAGGTTTCTGTGTGTAACCTGTTTGTTTTTCTTTTCTTTTTTTGTTTCAAGCAAACAAAGAACGAAAAAAGGGTGTTTTCTTCCCTTTACACATTCACATCTGTATGTATACATGTTAGATACAAAAGTTTTTTCTTTCTTTCTGTTGTAATTTGATGCAATTCAGGCTAATGTTTTTTGCGGGTTGTTTTTTGTTCCTCTTCTTTTCAATATTATGATATGATGGGATTATTTCTATGATATAATGTTGATTGTACTATGAAAGGATATATGTGACAAAATCATTAATAACCTTTCAGGATTAAGGGCTTATATCCGACTATGGATTGTCGGTAACAACGTTGAACTTCGTACGTGTATGTACATCAATTCGAGCAATTTCAAAAGTAACACGTGTACATCAGTTCAGGTTGGTGTATTTCATAGTACAGCGAGATGAAAGTGTTTGCAGAGATCTTAGAGTGGTAGAGTTATCGACAGGAGTCATAATAATAGAAAAGACTAAGCATCCAAGATACTATTATAGAAAAAGTGGACGGTGGTGCCATTTCGTGAACCACTGAATGCCAACCGGCTCAGTGGTCCACAGTTAAGCGTTCACGCGCAAAACTGATAGGTCCTCGGTTCAAATCCGGTGAGGCGGGATCGTCGATGCGCACTGCTGAGGAGTCCTATCCTAGGACGAATCGGCCATCCAGTGCGTCCAGGTTTTTCATGGTGGTCTAGCTTGAATTGGCTCATGAATTTAATTATTAAAAAGTTACAAATTAGCGAGGAAAAATATCTATGAAGAAATTAAAATATAAGGGAAGATGAAGAGTGAATATGCGTAAGCCATTGCGAAAGATTTTGAAACATCATTCAAGGTCTCTAGAGATTGGTCATGATAATAACGCGAACCTCAACGAATTAGTTTACACGTACATATATGGCGAAACATAACATTATAAAATAACTAAATAGCAAAATATCAGGAGATAAATGAATGTATTAGCGTCATTTTAACAGATTGTGAATCACGTTACCTAAATTTTCGAAACTTGATGACCCATGCTCATTTTACAAATATACGCCTAAGTTTATATTTAAACTGATGAAGACTACGAAACTTTTTCAACTGAAATAACAAGCGACACACTTAGGTTGCACGAAATTGAGCAATGGCGGGTCTATGTTGTCCTTATGTATCCGGGCCCCAGGTTCAATACAATGACGGTGCCAGCGAGTTTGGAATCCTGGCCTGAAATTGTTTACCGGTGTTTCGTCACCGTCGGGGCTTGCAATTATTCTCCGTGAACGAGGAGTTCCTTGAAAGTGCAAGTCATAAGCTTGCACTGAATTCGCTCGACTAATACTGATATGACCTAATTTGACCATTTGGATTAAGTAAAAGTCATAACAATGTTTCCGTAGGTGAGCCTTCGGAAGGATTTTTTTAATGATTTAAAAATATATAATGAAAAATGCACTTAGCTTCGTGCTGGTCTGCATGTACGCTGCCTTAATGTTATTTACCACAGGCCTCAGCGGTAACTTACATGTCCTTGAGTAAGTCAGTCACGTGAATCGTGCCTTCAAAATTGCTTTAGACCCATTGGTTCTGTTTTAGAAGCTAATCACCTCAAAATAATCTATAATTGAAATTTTTGGGAAACCTTCTTGTGAAATCAGCTCTAAGTAAACAGAT